TCTCTCTAAATAAATCTACCTTTACTCAACGGTGGCTCGCACTTGAATTCTTTGCTGTGCGAAGCCAAGGACCCACACTTGGCAGGACACGTCCTAGGGGCTCAACTGAGACCTGGGACTCGGCCCTCCTCAAGGCCCACATCCGTTTTCCTGCCTCAAAGATACCACATGGGAGCTTTCAGCTCCAAAGATAAGGGACACGGCTCCTGCCGGCTGGTTATGGCTTTCTCAGGCAACCGAAAAATTTATGGAAATTGTGGAGGTGAGTCCTCATACTGTACAGCAGTCCCATAGGGAAACTCACCCATTAATTGAAAAACTCATTAAAAGAATTGGCCACCCACTGCTCGGAGCACCCATGGCAGTTTTAGACTGCTGGTAGGAGAAAACAAGACGCGCAAAAGAGCTGAAACCACTCCAGAGCGACACCTGGAAGAACTAAACTCACAAACAGCCCACCGGCCCCTACTGTTTTCAACAGTGATTCTGTTATGACAAGCCAATTTTAAAATGAGAAATAGAGTCTCCCAAACAGAAGAAAAAGGGGGTGCCAGATAACCCCAATAATCCAGATGGGTTTATATATGTACAGAACTTAGACACTTGCACTTACTTAATTAGGAACTAAGGAAATCCTCCCTGAAATGGCCCAGATGGGGCTCTTTTTGACATTCCAAAACTGCTCTGTGCATAAGCAGTTAGACAAAACCAGATCCAAAACTGGTTCTGCATAAGCAGTCAGAGAAAGCCGGCTTGATAAAATATCTTTTCAAAATTCTGACCCTAAGGGGACAAAGGCCTCCTAAGAGGAGGCTGCATTTTCCTCCCTGCATCTTTGAGATAATAATGTTCTACCAGGGCTTTCAGGAATCCTTATCTGTATCTTATCTAGACCATCTCTAATTCCTGGGACTGAGGCAAAAAAGGGGAAAAGAGGCCTTTCAAACTCAAGCAAGTAAGCTTAACTTATTCCAACTGTTATTTATAAACCAGTGAATTTTACATTGTAATACCTGATTTATGACTAAGTTTTAAAATGAAGCTATGAGATCTCTGATTATATCTACGTCTGTGTGTTCATTATATATATACATATATATATATATCTCTACTTCCGAATGGTATTGCCAAAATTAATTTGTAAATGAGCTCTATTATGATTAGCTTTAAGGAAATTAAGCACTTACATAAAGTCTCAGAAATATAAAAGAAACTAACCCAAATGAATTTCAGGTTCCCATGAAATAGTACCAAAGTTAGTTAAAGTTTGTTGGTCAAAGATACCAAGAGGTTTTAAAACACTTGGTCAAACAGGAACATAGGTCACTGTGAAACAATACTTATTCACTTAACCAAAGTGACAATAAAAGATTTCAAAGGCAAATATGGAAGGTTACAACAGATTACTTCAAAAGTAAAGAAACTTCACCACCTGTTATCAAAATCAGATTAATATTCCAAGAAACTTTGTCCTCTTAGCAGAGAGAGAACTTCCTCTTTGATTTGAGGAAGTCTTTGGCATGGCTTTTCTGGCCTTGAGAGACCTTTTAAAAGTTCAACCTGAGATTCCTTACGAAAAGTTCCAGCAAAGCCAATTTCAAAGAGCCTATGTGATCTTAATTTGGCTATATTTGGTAGAAATGAAGGTGATTTTAGAGAGAAAAAAACTATGTTTCAGTGAATGTTAAGCTCTAGTGTTGTTAACTGTCTCTGTGGTTTGTATTTACTACTGAAGACTCACTTCCTAGACGGCTTCTTCTTACAATGTTGCATTGTTGTCAGATTTAACTGAATTATTAAAAGGACATTCTAAATTTGTTTCTAAAGCTTATCACAGTAATCTGTCTTTGAATGAAGATCATAGGCCCCATTACCTGCAACCAGGAGATTATGTATACTGGAAAGGCATCGTTTAAAGACTCCTAGATGGAAGGACACTTACCAAGTGCTCATAACTAGCTCATGCACAGGACACTAAAAGGAAATCATTCTTGGACTCCCACTTCCCACTTACGAAGGGCCCCTGTACCATACTGTTCTATAGAGAGGACTGCTGACCTCAAAATCACCTTGAAACAACACTCACACCAGGATGAGAAGACATCAGAAGTAGACAGCTATACCAAGATGCCAGATCTGACCTGTATGATTATTTGTAGTGTTTTCCTGATTCCTTGGACTTCTGCATATGAATCAAATGTTCTTCTATCATGAGCACAATCCTATACAGATTTCAGAAATCAATCCAATTATGTACATCTAATACTTCTGGTTTACCCTGGTGGATTTCTTATCTCCAAGACTCTAATTGAATGGGCCTTTGAAAATTTATTTTAGAAGAAAGAAGCTGTAGGTCCACTATTGGTTATTACTAGATGGGAATCCCTCACTCAGCCAATCAATCATACTTTCTCTGACCGACCATAAATATGAATTCTCTTTTAAAATTACTCAAGCTCAATCAGAGGAACAAGCTAAATTTCAGTCAAAGAACATAATTTCCCAATTATTAGAAGGAACCCTCCCTCAGTTATGGGATTGATTTATATGGCTAACACTAGGCTATGGTCATTTAAGTTTAAAGGCCCTCCTATGTTGGGAACAATCAAATCATACTAAAGATAACAGCCA